CCCGAGAGCCTGCAGGAGTCGTGGGCGGGGTGTGTGGGGAGGGGGGAGGGGTGTGCTCCGCCATGAGGAAGTTCGGCTTAAAGTCACGTCCCAGGGGCGTTTCTTGTCCCCACCTGTCGTTTTGCTCCTCAGCATGGCTGCCTAAAAACGCTGCAGGATTTCTCAAACATGCATGAATGAGTCAAAGCAAGGCTTTGGGCATGTTTTTTTATGAGAGTATAACATTATAACATGGTATAAAACTCAAAAAAGTTGATTTTTCATAAAATTGCCCCTTTAAATCCACAACAGTGAACCTCCAGGACCAGGATTGTGCCTTTGTTAAAGTTATCAGTAACTCTGACGTATTTTTATTGCAGAACATGTAGCCCCGCCTAAAAAGCCRCCCCGCCCTGGAGCTCCTGGTCACCTGACCGGTCTCTGCCCTGTGGACAACTACAACGAGGGGGTGAAGGTGCGCATGAACACATGATTAACATCCTCGACTTAAAATAATACATGATGGTGATATTTTACTGCATTGCTTTGGCTTTTACCACTTTAAATGTTACTATTTTTTTAATATTTCCCATCATGCTTGTGGGTTTTATGCTGTCCTTTGCTTTGCTTTGGTTGGCTTTAGCCTAACRTTCTTCCCCTCTTCTCTCCCTCCTTTTTACAAACATTCCTTTAACACMTTCATGTTTTTCATCTTTATTTTCTCACCTGTTCCTCTGCATCTCTACCCTCATCCATCCACCCCGCTCTTCATATTCACCCTCTTCTTCGACCAATCTTCCAATACTTCTCACCCCACTTCTACCCAAAACACAACTTCACACTCCTCGTAGCCGTGGAGGGTAAGCAGATCTGTGTGTGTCTGTTAAAACGATAGTTTAGTTACCATCCTTTCCATCTGCAAACAACTTGTATCCATGTGAGTTTTAYTTGTTTTTCTTCACCAGAGACGACTCGTTATTAAAAAAAAAAAACGGAGAGAAAAGTGGGGCGGAAAATTATTTTGAAGCAAAGTAAAATTTCCTGCCAATATGATAATCTGATTCTGTCAGGCTGATGTTTTCATAGTTTTCTTTGTGTTTTTGGTGAAGAAAAAACAACAGATGTGACWTATTAATAGAACATGTAACTAAAACTGGTAAAGTGATTAGTGTGTGTTATAATTGCAGGTAGATTAGTCTAACGATTTAGTGCTGAAAATAATTTATTAGCAGTAGAACTTGTCCCAACTTTACTGTTTATTTTATTATCTAAGTCACRTCTAACTACATGAACCTCTATAAATTACTGTATGCTACAATTTAACAGCTATTTGTTAAAATAAAACAAAATTATATGAATATAAATAAGTGGTTTTGTTTCTTCTTTGGTCACAAAAACCAAGCTCCAAATAAAGATAAATCTGCAATGTTTCTYGACAGTTGTCTTTGTAAACATGAAGCAGTTTTAAGAAGAGTTGAAACCATAAAAGTATAAAAATCACTACAAGCAGGTTGAACCTAACAAACTAACCTCATCTCACGGTCCAAAACTCATCTAGTCTTCATAGGTTAACAATAAATGCATGTGAATGGAGAAAAGGTGATATTGTGTTTTATTTTGTAGTTACATACTGCCACCTAGTGTTAGATATGTGAAACTGCAGTCCCTCCTKCAGAACTGCCGTTTCAGCAACAATTATAGCTTTTTTTATGTAGAYGAATGTGACTAGTAAGAAAACCAATTTGGACAGATTTGCTATAAAATGTGACTAATTTATTGTTATGATGTGGTTGATTCAGTTGCAGCCGCAGGAGATCAGCCCACCCCCGACAGCGAACTTGGACCGCTCCAACGACAAAGTGTACGAGAACGTGACGGGGCTGGTTAAAGCTGTGATCGAGATGTCGAACAGGATCCAGCCCGCCGCGCCCGAGGAGTACGTCCCCATGGTGAAGGTACTGCTCCCCTAACACACGCACACACACGCATGCACATACGCATTATGTTGATGGGTTGTAGTAATTATGGGAGTACATTGTGACCAATTTTCTTCTCTTCCTTATAATTTCTCCCTTCTGCTGTACGTCACATAATGAAGTGTTTAACAAAAAACTGTAGGTTTATTTTTTTTTCACACCAGTCAGAGGAGGAAAAACTATTTTTTATTTATTTATTTTTTTATTGTTAGCTGTGGAGAAGAAAAGAAGACGTGGACGTTCACTTTCTCCCAAGTCCATCCTGCTAATTTAACKTCTGCTCTGAGAACACAGCAGAAGCTCACCTGTATGGCAGGCCATTTTTTCATTTAATCGGCCCTCACCATATTTACGTTCCAAATAAGGCATATATAAATATAAGATTTGACTTATGCAAATTTTTAATGTTCTGTAAGTTTTATTTAAAAAAATCTGCACTCTCTTTTAATAAATACTGATAATGTTTCTGCTGTCAATCATTGGCCTCTCAGGGCCAGCACTCCAGAAACACTGTACTTTTTGTGTTTTATTCCCAAAGCAAAAAGGAAATATGCTAAAACCGGTTATTTTTGCAGGATGTGGGTCTGGCTCTGAGGACGCTGCTGGCCACGGTGGATGAAACAATCCCGGTGCTGCCCACGAGCACACACAGAGAGGTAATCACACAGGACGGAGTTTTGAGGGGAAAATAGAGATGACCTTGTAAAATTATTACTTTTCAATTCTTTTATAGATGTTTGTCTCTTTATTTTATCCTGTGAGGTTATTTAATTCCTCTTTGTGTGACATCTTGGATTCTTTCAGATTGAAATGGCTCAGAAGCTGCTGAATTCAGATCTGGCAGAATTAATAGCCAAGATGAAGCTGGCACAACAGTACGTCATGACGAGGTAAACTCAGAAAGTCTGTGTGAAGCTTTCAACTAGTTAAAAACTAAAATGAACAGAGTCTTAACTGCAGCACTTGTTTGTTTTTTTTTTTTCCGGGCAGTTTACAAAAGGACTACAAGAAACAGATGCTGATGGCGGCTCACGCTCTGGCAGTCGACGCCAAGAACCTGCTGGACGTCATCGACCAATCACGACTCAAAATGATCAACCAGATCCGCCCACATTAGTCCAGGACGRGATCCAGACAAAGGTTTCAGCTGCTGGACAGGTTTAAAGCGTTTGAACGGTGGACAGAGCCGCGCGTGGACTTTACGTTGGGTTTCTGTGACGGACGGATGAAAACGAGGAGCGGACAGAAACAATCAGCTCTGTGGGAATCATTCACAGCTTCTCTTCTTTCKGGAAACACTCGTGTTCGGGTCGATGTTGTATTTTCTACTTCACTGACACGTCTCCAGAGGGGGGAAAAAAAACAAACAAACTTTTCTCTCGTCTTCTCTTTATTTTGGAAATCATCCATCACTCCCGTTAAAATCTGAAGAAAGCAGATGGATTAAAGACGCTCGGACACATGAATAAAACTCTAACAGAAACTGGAACTGAAACTCCAGCTTGAAAACGATATTAATAATGATGGACTTTGTAAACATGCTTTTTTAAAACTTTATTATTATTGTTTTCTGTCCRTTAAACTTTCAAGTCTTCCCTTTGAATCCCTGTACTGTGGTAACATCTCATTCCTCCCTTTAAAGATCTCTATCTCAGGTGGCACGGAAGCAGAATTGTTTTTAAAACTCTATAATGGACAAAACAGACGCCACTTTTTAAGTTAATTTACATAAAAATACAGAGCTTTATATTTAACACATTTCTATTGAGGGCAGAGTGAAGTGGGACTTTGTTTAAAAATACAGCGAGGTTTACATGCATCTTGTTTAAATGTCCAAATAAAGCTCAATACAAGATGTTCAGTAGCTGCTAAGCTGTAATTTCATTAATATTTTATGAAAAACTTGGTCATTTGAACAGTTAAAAGCCATATTTAATAATATATCAGTAAGCATGAGGGCTCTTTGTCCAAATTTCCATCAACCTTCAACACAAATKTTTGGATACATTCTGTTTGTTTTTACTGTTTTCTAAATGTATTTAAACTGCAGAACAAAAAGCTAATTTAATCACATTTTTATTTGTTGTGGTTGATTGGAATTAAAGTTAATTGCAACGACTTCACCGTAAACACACGGGACAAATTGTATTTCAAGAACGTTTAAACAAGAACAGCTTTTAATAAGATAATCGTTATTTGGATGGTTGATAGCTGTAATGAGTTTGATTTAGTGGATTGTGATGTAAAATATTTCTCGTGTTTTTCTACCCCATTTCTCCACCTTCCTTCATTAGAGTTATTTATATATTTTATTTCTGTTCTCCATCCTTCCCACCACTCTCCCTGGTTTCCTCAGTTCTCTCTCTCCTGTGGTGAGCAGGATTGTCAGGATGGAGACATCTGTATAGTTGCTAAAACGAGCAAATAAAACACTGTTATTAAGAAGAAGCTGTTATTTTTGTTGTTGTTAGATCATTTTAACTTGGTAAAACTGAAAACTAGAGGTGTAAGAAAATATCGGTACACTGAAATATAGCAAAATTTTATTTCCCGATACTGTATCGATTTTTTTATTAAGGTTTAAAATGTCAACTTTCGTGCCAGCCGTTCATTTTTATGTTGTAGTTCAGCCTCTGACCACTAGTTGGCAGCAGTGAGCCAGCCATTTGGCTCCTCTACCTCTTGAGGTAGAGGCTATTGTTAAGTGTTGGGTGACCATATTGTAAATTAATATTAAAACCAAAAGCTGCAAAAAATATATTTTCAAACTATTTATTGCCAAATTTAGTCTAATAATTGAAAACATGGATGAAATAAGAAACATGAAACAAATGAAATAAAATACATACAAAGCAGAACACAGCTAAATGTATCAAAAGTATGTCTATGTAATATTAGAATTTTCTGAGACAATGAATTTTGGTTTTTCTTTTTCCCCGTAAGAGGTTTTTATTTAATAGAATTTTTGGACGCAAAAAATCGCAATATATCGGCTTGCTTATAGTATCRCWATATATCGGGATATCGTATCGTGAGCCCTCTGTCATGATATGTATCGTATCGCCAAATTCTTGCCAATACACAGCCCTACTGAAAACATGTTTCTGCCTGGTTTCGAACCAGGGACCTTACGTAAGGCGAACATGATAACCACTACAATACAGAAACCTATGATGACACTTATGGGCAGAATTTGAAAAAAGCACAATTACAATTTACAGCTGGTATTGCTGTTTTTCTCTTATAATTTTACACTTTTCCAAACTGTTCGCCATTTTTTTCAGACAGAAATAATGGCAAAATAAAAGTCATTTGTAAAGAAAACTTTCAGATTTGTGTCCGTCAGAACCTCCTTGATGCCACTTTATTCATGTCAGAAGCAGAGGCCCCACCAAGTGGAAGGCAATGACCCCATTGGTCAAGTCCTTTCCTCTAAATCAGGGGTGTCCAAAGTGTGGCTCACGGGCCATTTGTGGCTTAAAACTAATTTGTTTACAAATCKGTCCYCCCRGCACAGGTGCAGATGGAGACTTTCYATTTTTAATCAGGGCAAAATCTTCTTCCAGCAAAACAAATATTGGCAACACCAATTATTTGTCTTTAAATAACCAGGCTCTTCGCTTTTTCCACATCCATCTGGTGACTTCTACTCAAAAGCTGATTTTTGCTGCCCTCCAATTGGCTTTTAATTTTTTGTAATTGGTCTGAATACAGAAAGCATTTTCAATGAAAGAGCGACCTAAATCCTGATTTTATTGATCATAATTGACTAAATTGGTTCTTTATTCCCCAACTGAAACCTAGAAAATTGCAAAATTTCTTTTGATAAGGGAAACCTGCAAAACACTTGAACTTCTGGATCTAGATTAATTTACACATCTATTTCCAGCAATAAATCTGACTCCTTTGTTTAATTATTCAATGCTTATTGTTCCTTCTGACTTTGATTTTGGACCAAAAATGTTTGTTCACCCCTGCCCTAAATCATTATGGATTAGTAGTACTCATCAAATTTGAACCAASTCCACACTGAATAAGGGCAACCAGTGCAAAAACCAATGTCAACACCAGGATGCAGGTCTCAGGTTTGTTTTTCAATAAATTCAGAAGCTTCAAAAAGAAAAAAAATTGTATAGGTCTTCTGGACGGGTTCTTCTCTAATGAAACGTTTCGTCTCTTCTCCAAGAGACTTCTTCAGTCTGAGAGTTTCAGGCAAAATTCAGGCTTTTAAGCACTGCCTCCATGTGACTGATACTCACATCACATGGCTATCGTTGACTATCGTTGATTAATTAACACCTATTGTTAACATGGGGTGGAGTGATACTGGCAATAGCCGCGCTGTAGGAGGGG